TTTTTAAGTTGTCAAGCCTAAGAAATATTTTTTGTAATCATTCCTAACATTAACGCAATTGATCATCTTATTGAGTTAATTCCCCATATTTACGTAAATTACTTGATATTCCTCATCAGAAATAGCTGCATTACTATCTAAAAGAACTAGAGTAAAATGATTTAAAGGTTTCTTTATATAAGTCTGGTACTCAACTCATGCTACTTGTTTTTCATCTTAATTTAATTGTACAACAGGAAGAGAGTGCAACAACGATTGGCACTGTACCAGGGAGTTTGCCCCATACACATGGACTTCTCAGCCGATGCTGAGGAGACATTTAGCAATGCTTTGGATTTGTTACGAGTATGATTTTTCATCTGTACTAGTTTATAATTGATAAACCCTCAATAACATTACTAGGAAAAATAAAAAATAAAAAAAGATTCATAATAGATGAATGGTGTTCAATTCCAACAAGTTGATTTAAACCTCACAATTATTCATCATCCTTTTTATGATGTTTATTCTTTATTATTAGAACATAAGTAGAACAGTCTTTGTTTTATGAGCACTAAACTGCTGCCAAAACTGCAGAAGCAAGAAATGGTGAAAGAAGGCGAACAGGTTGCTCTCGTCCAAAGCGGCCGGCAACCCATCTGGAGATCCCAATCAACTCATAATATTCAGGTCAGGAAAGTGTAGAAGGTAAAAGGAGAGCCTTTGGATATCTGCTCTTCGTGGAATTGCATGCATTTGTCATATGCTTAGGTGGCAATCGAGATTGGACATCTGTCGCCTAACCTTACAGTTATTAGTTTTTGATTTTTTTTGAAAAATTGTTGTAGTAATTTTTTTTTTAACAGAAATAAGGTTTTTATTTTTTTCTTCCTTTTTTAGCTGATGATGTTATCGCTTTCCAAGTTTAACAACAGTTTTTATATGATTTTTCCCTTATGATTTTCTTCTTTTATTTGCTGCTATTTCCTTTCGTTAGGTTTTGTTAACAAACTAGGCCCTTAGGCCGCCCACGATTATGATGGATTTCCAAGTCATTGTATAGTCAATCACGGAACCCATCAAATCGCTTATCTTAAATCCATTTATTTCCTCGTAAAAACATGCAACGAATATTACAGATACCACAAATTTATTCCGTCCTACCAGACCAGACACCAAAGCTTAACAATACACACAAACACAAAAATCCATCACTAGAATTTTTTTTTATTATTATTATTTTTTATTTTATTTTATATTTAATTTTTATTTCAGTTCGTGCAAATATAGCCTTTCAAAGGCTACCCCGGATATCCAAACTATATCCCTGGTCGAAAAACCTGTTCCACAGCATCACCCCTCCGTACTTGGGATTCGTCCTAATCCTCGGCAGCACCTGAGACACTAACACATCTGACTCCATATACCCTCCATCCGGGGCCGCCTCCACCGCCGCTGGCAGGCCCAAGAACAGCTGCCGGCCCGGCCCATCGGCCCACTGATTCCACCTCGCCACCAAATTATCCACACCACTCCTATAATCACACTGCGCATTGTTATAAAACTGAACCCACACGAAATCAAACAGCCCAGTCTGAAGAGCCGTGTCCAGGTGCTCGTCCGGGATAGGGCACTGCGGGGCCGCGGACAGGTAAACCCTTCTCCCCTGAGCCGAGTATCCCGACAGAGCCCGCGCCAGCTCATCAAGGTTCTGGCCCGTTCCCGACTCGATATTGAAGTCGATGCCGTCGAGGACAGCGGGGCCCAGGGGCCTCGGCCCGGAGCTGCCGCCCAAGAAGGCGTTCCACAGGTAGTCTGCCACCTGGCGGGCGGAGTCGGGGGTGGGGAGGTTGTAGGTGCCGGTTTGGCCGCCGAGGGAGAGGAGGACGCGTACGCCACCAGCCTGGCAGGCGCGGATGCCGTCGGTTTGGGACGTGCAGCCGTCGTTGTCTGGGGTGCAGTGGCCGGCGAGGTTGAGGACGGGGGTCTGGCCTTGGCCGAAGGTGGTGAGGAAGGAGATGAGGACGTAATCGTAATTTCCGGTGGCGCAGGTGTCGGCTAGGGTGCCCTCGTTTACATTCTGGCCCCAGTAGACGGCGATGCCTGGCTGGGCTTGCGAGGGCCGGGATGACCAGAGTGCGAGAGCGACGAGGAGTGTTAGGAGGCTTGTTTGGGAATG